TTAAATATATTTAACTCAATAGTCAACTCTTGGACAGCTATTGTAAATTTAATTATTTGACAGCACGTCTAGTACTGCAGCAAGTGACTGGGTTTTTATAAAATAAATAAATAAAACTACAAGCAAGCAAGTACATAATATATTGCCTGTCTAACATCTCGAATGCTATGATTTGGTGGTTATCATGTTTAATACACGGGAATGAATAATCTATATATATATATATATATATATATATAATGAGGAACAATAAAACATTAAATTATATTATCATGCATTAAATTTTATTATCTCTTCAAAACTTTCAACATTTAATTTTATTAGTTCTCTGTATTAAATTTTATTATCCCTCCAAAATTTTCAACATTCAATTTTATTAGTTTTCACATACCACCTAAAACTGTTATATTCAGCATTCAATTTTATTTTACTAGTTTTCACATCTATATCTATATCAAAAGGAGCAACACAATTAATAATATTATTTCACTTTCCCTACAAAATCGGTTACAAAACATTTAATTTATTTATTTATTCTTTTTTTCTTTACTCATCTAAATTATGTAATGTTTTTATCACCTCTTCCCCATAAATCACATTATGTAACAATCATTATTTGATTTGATCTGGAAGAATTCATACTTATTTCCTTTTCAAATTTCATTTATTATTGATTACATAAAAATAGTTTTATATAATAATTCAAATTCAAAACTGATGTAATGCTTATTCTTCGATATGATCTGATAGGATTAATGCCTATTTCCTTTTCACTTTACTTATTTGTTGAATGAATGTAATAAAATAATTATTTATATGTGTATTATATATATATATAATTATTTGCTTGAGTACGTAAAAATGATTCACATAATAATTCAGATTCCAAAATTACAAAATCAAATAATTAAGAAATAAAACTAAAAGTACCCAGTCATCTATTTCAATATATATATATATATATATATATATATATATATATATATNAGAAAAAACGATATATCTAATTGTATAAATCATTAATAATGAATTATATTTCAAACACCAATATATCTCATTATCATGTTGCCATATTCTAATTTTATATATTTTTTTCTTATTCTCAATCAAAATTTTATGGTGCAATATTATATTACTAATGTCATTTAAGTATTTAACTAAAAAGCATTACCTAATCAACAGATGTCAAATTTTGTGTGGCGTTATATTAAAATATTGTATATAAAATATAAATGTTGTATATAAAATATTTTTTAATAATATTTAGAATCCTTTTCTTAATTAACATTTTGAAATGCTCATTTCAAAATTTCTGCTTTGTTATTCCCATCATCCGGTAACCACAGGATGATCCACAAGAAAGGTGGCAGGGGCTGACCTGAACTAATGCCCTATACGAGACGAAGGCTAGGAATGAAATGGCAAGTGCCGCATCTCCTTTCACAGCGGATGATGCATATCTATCTCTATCTTCAGACTCGGGCAAAACTAAACTTCTATGTGATGAAACAAAAGAGAGCAAAGTGAGACTCTACAAACGAAGCGAAGCGAAGTGAAGTCATAGAGGAAAGAGCGCTTATTCGAGAACAACCTATTCGCCTTTTGATTAACGGGGTTTGGGTGCATCCAACATGCTGAAGTTTTAGACTTTGCAAACCTCGATAACCACCCGCCCCTCATGAGGTTCGATGTAATTGTCTCGACCAACTTTGAGATCGCTTTCTTTATTATTTTTTCTCAAGCGTCAATTTGCACTGAGGCATAAGCTCTTAGTCACCTCTAAAGTTTTTCCTCCATTTTCGATTACAAAATTTATCATTAATGTTTTTTACTTCTCACATTAATACATCCTATTGAGTGTAATCATGTATTTTTCTATTATATTACATAATAATTAATGCTAATACCAGCTAATAATAATTCACAATAAATATAAATTGCATAATTATAAACAATTGTTTCAAGTTATTTATTTTAACATCAATATTATCTTTTTCTTGTGTATCTCATGAAAAAATTTCTTTAAAAACAATTAGTAAATTGTTTTAATAGCATAGTCAAACAACTTTAGAATTTTATAAACAATTATTTTTGTAATAATAATAACAATAATAATAACAATAATCAAACTGCTATTATCTAGTGATAATTAACAATTGTTCATAATAATAAACAATCATTAATTTATTTTTCCTAATGATTAAATTTTAAAATGTAATATATTCATTATCTAAAATTTTAATATTAAATTTTCAAATATTACTTATTATATTTGATGTACATCTGTGCTGTGCACAGTATATGTACTAGTTAAAATATTAATTCATATAGGATGAGAGTTAAAAATAAAAACAAAAAAAAGTTAACTTATATCATCTCTAAAGCAATCAAAAATCTTAAAAAAATATAAAGTGAATTAATGAGTCATCATATTTAACATTGTGTTAGAGAATTCAATATTAATCTCAATATTAATGTTTTAATTCCCGAATTCACTTCATATTATTACCCATTTTAGTTTTTTTTGTGCGTTCCTATTATTTTTTTTTTTAAATAATATATTATAACATTTCAAATAACAACCAAGTATTATGTAACATACATTGATTATGATGTACACTTGTATATGTTACTTTTCAGAATATGACATATTCCAACTTTTTAAAACATGACATTTCAATTTAAAAATATGTATATTTATTGAAATACATAATTATCTTACAGTTAGATATCCTCAACGCAATCGTAATTCATTAAAACTTATATGATGTTCGAAAGAAGTTAATTCACAAAACAACCGTTGTGTATAATCAAACCAATATCACTTTCAATTCCTCGAATAAAAAGTCCAGATAAGAGTAGAAAATTAGGACTTAGGATAAGGAATCTGAGGAACTAAACGACAAACACACTAATTACAAGACAATCGCGACATCAAACCCGCCAACCAATCATTTATATTCTCTAACCACTACACGTTGATTTCGACAAACACACTAATTACAAGACAATCGCGACATCAAACCCGCCAACCAATCATTTATATTCTCTAACCACTACACGTTGAAAAATCAATTCAAGAATTACATTTAAAAAAAAAAATTCCAAAAAAAGGAAAAGTAATAAAATCATTACTTCATAAAACAAACAAAAACCAAAAAAATGAAACTAGGTTATCTTATTATTCTTATGGCCTACAATACCCAAATATCTATTTCCTATAGAAAATTAAGGACAAACAAAACAAAACAAGATGCCACCTCAGCCGGTTGTGGCGGCCACGCCCAACGGCCACCGCCGCCGGAAAACCGCCGAGCACTCCGGCAGCTCACCGAGATCGGCAAAAAGCGGCTCGTCCTGCTCCGACATTGCGAAAACCTCGGTCTCGTCAGTCAAAATTGGACTTTCGAGCATCGGGCATAAATCACCAGCGCAGTCAAAATCACTTAGCCAGTACCCAAATTCGCCGGAATATTGGGCTAACGGCGAGTCATCGAGACCTGAAAATCTCGAATTCGAATTCATAATTATTTCATGAAGAGGTTGATCTTGTTTGTTGTTCGACAAATTAATGTCGGGTTTAGTCTCTTCTTCTTCCCCCTCTTCTTCTTGCTCTGCCTCATCGGAAGCCGGAGTTACGGCGGTGGTGGCGCCAGAGCTCCGGTGGGTGTTTCGAGTGGCCGGAAAAGGGTGGTTGTGCTCGCAATAGTATGTGACCAATAGCATTTTAGAGTCCAATTTACTTCTCTCAACTTGCTTACGTGCCGGACATCCTTTTGAACTACTACACCTATAGTATCCTCTGCAAAAAAAATTAATTTTGTTTTTTATATATAAAAATGTTGTCTGATAATAAAAATAATTTTCAAGGTTTGTAATTCTATTTTTATCATAAATTAATTAAAAGATCATTGATCATGACATAATTAATGGTGAATTTCATCTTTCCCATAAATTATAACCGTCAGATCAACACACATAGATAGAGATGTTAAACGGGCTAGCCCTAGCGGTTTCGGGCTAACCCTAGCGGGCTTCGGACTAAACGGTCCAGGCCTAAAAAGCCCGGATTTAAACGGGCTACCAAAAAAGGACCTAACCCTAACCCTAGCGGCTTCGGGCTAAACGGGTTATGCGGGCTATAATAATAATAATAATAATAATAATAATAATAATAATAATAATAATAATAATAATATATAAAAAATAAAAATAAAAAGAGTAAAATATAAAAAGAAATTACAGCGGCTAGTTAACAATTGTTTTCAACGACTATTTACTATTTATCGTTTATCACTATGTTTCATGTGTTTCCTATTAGTCCTTTTGATTGGCTTAAATATTTTGGTATTTTATACAATAACAAAATTGTTAATATTTATCTTTCAAAATCATAATAATCCATTACAACTCATACTTACATGTAAAGTGGAATAGCAAAACTATAATATACAAGAAATCTAAGAGCATATTACTTACTTAATGCAAATATTTACACCGCCCAACCTTAGTTAAACGGGCCAGCCCTAGCGGGTTCCGAGCTAGCCCTAGCGAACTTCGGGCTAAACGGGCGGCCCGTCGGGCCAAGGAACTACACATAGATGTCGAATTTGCGGAAATAATTAATGTGAATTTAATTGGCTATATTAAATTAATACAAAAGGGTGATTATTTATTTGTTTTAGAAGTGATTGAAAAAAAAAAAAANGAAAAAAAAAAAAAAGGAAACTTAAATCTATTACCTGGGATATGGGGAACCCTTAATGGGCTTTTGGCCGTATTTTCGCCAGGCCCATGAATCGGACGGCGGAGAACTCGTCTGATCCCCTTTGAGCCTCAGTCCTTCAACGTCTTTGATTGGCACTGACACCACTCTCTTGTGTAGGGCCCTCCTACTGTAATATTTAAATTAAATATTTTTCTCTCATTATTAATTTTCTTATTTTCTGATGAAAATAACTTTGGAAAATCTCAATTAAAATTAACCGTAACAAAAAATAAAATTAAAATCCATCTTCATTCTATTTCTTTTTTTTTTTTCGAAAATGAAATTAGCTAGAGAGATAGATGGATACCCTCTTTTGGAAGATGAAGTAGAGGCGAAGGCGATCTTGACATCAGCCGACGCGGCGGAACGCGGCGAGTCTCCGGCGCTGTTTTCCGGCGAGTTGTCGGAATCTTCCGGCTCGGCAACAAATTGGTGGTTACTGAATCTATTTCTCATGGTCCTGAAGCTGCTTTGGCTGCGAAGATAAATAATAATACCAATGATATTTATGTGCTTGTGTTTTGTGTGTATATCCGGAAAGAGAGAGAGAGATTGGGGGAGAGATAATTGGGTGTTAATGTTATTAGCCTTTTAAGATGGGTCCGAATTAATATTAATACAAGTGGGTAATAGACTATAGTGTTGGTTTATAGAGGACGTGCAAGCAAATGTTGAAATTATCAAAAACTTTATTAAGCAAATATTACTAATAATTATATCTTGAAAAGTTTGTTAAAGTATATTATTGATAATATTTTATTACAATATGAAAGTGACCCTCTGGTGTCAGACTAGTGGGTGGTTTAGGGGATAAGATTTCTTATTTCAAAATTATGTTACAGTTCATGTATTATTTTGTTCAATGAATGACAAAATGATAGACCTGCACGTATTAATGAAGTCAATATTTTCACCAAACTGCTAGTTTCAAATCGAAAAATAACGGATATAATGATTTTTTTTTTAGTTTTTTACACTCTTATCAAATTTTTTTTACACAAATTGAAAATTTTATTCTTAATTTTAATATGTTTACATTGTTAATAGATTTAATCAATTCCAATACTAACGACAGTTGATTGTATATATTAATTATATTATAATAATAAAATTAATTAATATTTATTAAAATCAATAAAAATAGATGGTGAGGATCTGCCTTTATCATGCCAATTCTTGAACAAGGGAATTTTTCTTAAAGACTATTGTGTAGTTTTTTATTGTTTTGTCAATTAATTTTGGCCCAATCAACAGGATTTAATATGGTGAAGGGATGACAATGGGGGATTTAAATATCAACCCAATCCACATGATGTATGAGGCATTTATTTTTCTCTCCATTAAAAGTTTGATGAAAATACCAATTAATACAACACCGAATTATGTGATAGTCTAACGGTTAGATTTCTTATATTATGTGGATAAAAATACATATTTATAATATTAATTGTCATATTTTTTTTATATTATTGTAAAAAGTATGACATTTTTTTTATCATGGAATATTCATATTTATTAAAGAAAAACATGTAGTGAAAAGTATTCCTTATGTGGATGTTAAAGCATAAACAACAACAAACATAATCTTCATAAATTATAGTGATATTACTTTTTAATTGATCGAATTTCCTATTAGTATTATTCCTAAATATATTGATTTTACTTGCATCGTATCATATTACATGGATATAATTATATGACCCAACATATTACATTTTATAATCTATGTTCTTTATTTACATATTATGAACACATTATTTCAAATAAATGTTACCTTAGAGAGTAGAATAATCTATGTAAGTTATAATTCAGAAAAATGTAATAAGATTATTTTAGAATTTGAAAAAAAAAAGTATTAAATTATGAAAAATTAATATTATTTTTTTTGTTTATAACTGAATACGTTATTGAAAATCATCAATTTATTTTAATCTAAACATGAAATAATTTTAGATATTCGAATGATAATAATCAAGTATATAAATATACTATAAATTCAAAATAAAATTGACACAAAACTAAAAAGTCATTATAACAAGTTGAAACCCCATAAAACTAAAAGTCATATAATTTATCAAAATTGTTGTACGAAATTATAATCTTTTCCTATGTAGAAATACTTAAATTTATTTGCATCCAAAGAAATTTTTATAGTTAAACTTGCAGAAACAATTTGATAAAGTATTATAAAAAAGGTAAACAAGTATAAATAAATTTTAAATAACATTTTAAAAGGCAAATAGCAAGAGTCGTAAAATTATTAAGAAAAAATACGAAAAAAAAAGGAAGAGGTATAGTAAAATTATTAAATGCCCACATTTAATTATATGTACTGCCCCAGCTACTTGTGTCACTCACGTCTATGAATGTCGAGCAATATATTTAAAGAACTGAACTTGCATAATTGCATTATGTCTGGTTGTTTAATACAGATTTTAAAATTTCATTATTATACTAATTTTAAAAGAATTGTTCGCCACGCTTAATTAACTAATTAGTTAATTATGTCATATTCTTATAAACAATATAATACATGTTTTTCCTTGGAAAATAATCAACATAACAAAAATTATATGTTGTGACAACTAGGCCTATATATATGTTCATTTAGATGGTGGACCATATGTCATAAATTAGTTCACATGGTCATGGGGATGCAATAATGGAGAAGCAGTGGATAAAATACTTATTAATCCAATTAAGTGTATTATGACAATATTTTAACGTTTAATTATTATTTTTTGTTGCTTCTAATCCTCCATTGCCGTGTAATTGCATCCATTTCATCTCACATCTTACTAAATCAACGTAATCTATATAGTAATTATACATAATTGATAAACAAACAAGTCAAATTAATTAACGTATATTAACTTTTAGTAATTATTAATGTGCAAAATTTTATGTTTATGTTGTGATATTGATAGAGTAAGAACAATATTTGCAGGAACTGGTCTTAAATAGGATATACTACAAAATTTGTGGACATTTTATAATTAATATATATTATTGAGATCGTACGTGCATTAAACGTCTTTAATTTATATTCTCTTTTTTGAGTTAGTTTGATTCGGGTTGATAGAGTCCCAATTGGCTCGTGCATGGATACTTTATACCGGTTGGACAATGTCAAAACAATAGTAGTATTGTTATTTCAATTTTTTATGATAGATGCTACATCATGTCCATTTAATATGATTGACATTTTCATTTACCCAACTCATAAAATAAAAGTAATCGTTTTTTCATTTTCTCAAAGCTGATTTTTGTTATTGTTTTAATTGTAATAAAATAATTAAAAATCTATAATTAAAATTATAATAATTTAAAAAAATTATATTTTACTATACAATTCAAAAAAATACGAACCCAATTAAAAATTGAAATTATAAAAATTGAAATAAAATACTAAAATTAATTAAAAGAAAAAAATTGCAACTTTGTTCTAAAATCTATCGAATATGATCTTTATTTATAAAAAATGAAAAAAAAAATACAAATTTTAGTATTTTATTTTCTTTTAATATAAATAAACATTAATAAATATATATCAAATATTCGTTACCCCTCTCACGGATAAATGTATCGGTCAGTGACCACAGGACAAATTATTGGGCTTAAGGCCCACCTTAGCATCTTGAGTCTATCATAGTAGGCATATGAAGAGTGCAAAGGCCCATTTGTGGACTAGTTATTAATTTAGTTTGTTTATTTGTTTTGAAGGTGTTTCCGAACAATCATCATAAAATTAAAACGCCAATCATATATTCCATGAAATCAAATCCAATGAATCAAATATATATCACTGATCCATGAGACCATACATACTCTCTGGCTATTTTAAGGAGTTAAAATCTTGCTTATTCGTCTATATGTTTAGGTGACTAAATTAGGAAGCCAAAATGCCTCCCTATGTCCATTTTACATCTCTTAAATATGTTTATTCTAAATAATTTGTTTATTGTAGGCAAAATGAAGTAATGAGTCTCAATATATACTAGGAGCCTATCGGCTGTGCGATGCACAGCCAGCCCACGGCAATGTTCAAATTGAGTAGAAAAATAACCACGACAAATTAAATAGTTTCTGAGGTTGTTCTTCGGCCGAAATCGGGTGGCTATCAAGCTAATGAGTTGAACTATGCGTCATCTTCCACCCCGTGATCTAATCCAACAATCTTAATATCATCATATTCGGCTACAAATAGATAGTGAGCTTCTTTAACTTTGAAACCCTATCAAAACCACATGAATTCTCCACGTTAAAAACCAAAAAAAAAAAAAAAAAAAAAAATGCACAA